CCTCCTTCTAAAGATTTTTAAATGTAAATAGACATTAGGAGACTGATTGATTGTACAGATGTATTCTTGTTATGTTTTTAAGTGATTTCATACTATTTTAGGTTAATGATATCTCAATACAATATATTATTTCATTATTTTCTTAACCTTCAAACCATTAAGTTTTTACCGACACCAGTGTTTGACATTGTAATAAGCCACCCTGGGTCACACTAGAAGGAAGAAGATATTTTTTCAAGTTTTTTTTCTTTTTTCATGTCAGGAGCGACTTGAGAAACTGCAAGTCGCTTCTGGTGTGAGAGAACTGGCTATCTGCCAGGACGTTGCCCAGGGAACATCCAGATGTTTGATGTTTTACCATCCTTGTGGGAGGCTTCTCTCATGTCCCCACATGGGGAGCTGGAGCTGACAGAAGAAGCTCAACCCACTCTCCCCAATCTGCTACCATGGACACTGTGCATCCACTCTGTTTTACAACCACCTGTCTTGCAGCAGATCAGATTTTGTGTGCACAACATTTGAAACCATAAAAAGAAGGTTCTGAGATAATAAAAGTATTTTGGATACAATGTTGTATTCCTGGCAGGGATGGAATTGAGATTATTCTCAAATAGAATCCATAGAGAGTTTTGAATATGTCTTCAATGAAATTTATTAAAGGCTCCTGGAAAATGAAACAACGTCTGTCTTGAAAGAAATATAACTAACTCAGGTGGGTACTCCAAATGGTGTTAAACTGCCACCTTACATTAACTGCATGGGTTAAGATTTCAGGGCAGGACCTGCAAGTGGGGTGTTCGACCAGAATATTGGTCCAGGACCTGGAGAGCAAAGGATATACCTGTGAATTTCTGACACTATGAATTTCTGATGGCAGAAAAAAATGACAGCAGACTCTAGAGTCCTAAAACAGTTTTGTTCGACCCTGTAAAAGTTATCTTGAAGATCTTGCAGTTCAGCAATATCTGAAGTGCTTCACAAGATTTGCTCAGTTGCCAAACAGTTATGTGGTTCTTTGGATCCTCTTCGGCTCCTATTGCTTTTGCTAGTGTCTTTCAAAACCAAAGCATTCTGAAGCATTCAAATCTAGCCAGGTAGTGCTGAAACCTTTTGAGTTACCTTCAGAAAAGGGCATACACTGCATCTCAAAAGATGTGATGTTTCCCTTTATTAAATGCATATTTGCAAAATGACCATTCTGTGCTAGCTGCTGGCTTTTCGCAACTCTCCTTGGATTTTTTCTTTCCTACTTAAGCAGCAGTGAAAGAATGAGCATGGTTCTGCCCTGTACTTCAGTGGAGCCAAAGTTATTTGTTCAACTGGTTATGCTTAATTGAAGGTGGGTCATTTAAATGAAGGTAACATTCATGTGATTCAGAGGAAGGGAAGGCAGGAAAGGAAAACAAAGGCAGAGACTCATGCAGTGCTGTGGCTGAAAAGAGCAAGCTGCTAAGACTTTTCCCAAAGTGCCAAAAGACATTCAGAGAACCAGGATTTTTTTCTTCCTCTTGGAATGTAAGTGTACTTGGATCTTTTTCCTAATACTGTTTGATAAAAATAGTTTTATTTTCCTACAACAGCAAGGTCTCTAACAAGTTGACTGTACCAGATTCATGAAAGCGCTGTTTTCCAAAACACAGTTGAGCTTAGGTGGTTTTAAGGAAACAAAAGCAGCATGCTATAAAAGACTCCTATACAGAAAGAAGGTGGGAAACCAAAATAATAGCAACGATTTTCATCATAACATTAGTATGGAAATGTACAAGAAATATACATTTGTAGAGGACTTAAGCCTAGTGGTGTTTGTAAAATCTAGTATAACATCTCTGCAGAATGCTATTTTTTCTGATGTAAAGCTTGAGGATTATGTTTTAATCTGAAGCAATGTCTTAATTGAAAGCTTTGAAGTCGAAAAAGAGAATTTACTCATATAGTCCATGCTTGGTTAGTTATATTTTTTTCCCAATGCTAGCATACCAAAATGTTGGTTTCCAATGCAGCAAGAGGGATTAAGTAGCTGAGAAAAGCATTATAACAAGTCTATTGAAACATGGATCACAGTTGTTTCTACTGTAAATGTTAGCTTTTACAACATAATCATGTTTACTCAGAAATGTTTTGGGTTTAAATTCAGTTGGATTTACTGTGCAGCCTTGGGCCTAGGATGAGAGATTACTTTTCAGGAGAATGGCTTGATGTTCTACATAGCTTCCCTCCTTTGGGCTGGATGTCTCTTGCAGCCCTCCATGGATCATAGGGTTTGGGCTAAAGCATCACGTGAAGCCCTTCTCTGTCTAGGACAGCGATTCCCAACCTGTGGGCCCCAACCCACGAGTGAGCCGTGAGACTTAAAATAAGGTCAGTGAGAGGGAGAGAAGGAAGGAAGGAGACACTGGTGTATTGCCCTCCCCGGTGCTTTCTCAGTTGGCTGAGGAGACTCACCCAGTGGCACACATGAGGGGGCGGGAGAGAGAAGGCGAGGGAGAAAAGGAAGGAAGGCCGTCGCACTCGCAAGTGCTTTCTCACCAGGCAGCACGAGCGAGGAAGTGAGAGAGAAAAAAATGAGTCCCTCAATGTTGTTGTTGTTGTTGTTGTTAGCTCCCATTGCCACACATCAATTGTAATGGGAACGTAGCCCTTTGTAAGACCCTGTTTAGTCCTCCAGAGTTGTTTTTGTTGTTGTTGTTGATGATGTTGTTGTTGTTATTGTTGTTGTTGTTATTATTATTTCTAGATCCCATTGCCACACATAAGTTGGAATGGGAAAACAGCCCTTTGTAAGACCGTTTAATCTCCCAAAATTGAAGTAGTAGTTGTTATTATTATTATTATTATTATTATTATTATTATTAGCTCCTATTGTCAAACACAAGAGTTGTAATGGGAAAGCAGCCTTTTGAAAGACCCTGTTTAGTCCCCATAGGAAGTAGTAGTAGTAGTAATTATAATTATAATTATTAAAGCACCGGGACTGTGGCGCAGCTGGCTGGGAATCAGCTGCATTAAGATCACTACTGACAGAAAGGTCATGAGTTCGAAGCCAACCCGGGTCGGAGTGAGCTTCTGACCAATGTGTGTAGCTTGTTGTCAACCTTTGCAGCCCGAAAGACAGTTGCATCTGTCAAGTAGGAAATTCAGGTACCACTTATGTGGGGAGGCTAATTTAACGAATTTACAAAGCCATAAAAATCTCCAGCAAGCATGCGGGGAATGAGGAAGTACTTCATCGGTGTTGCAGATGGATGGTGAAGTGACAGCTCCCCTGGTGGCCAGAATACCCTCATCAAAAAGCTGGAATGTTAAGCAGCCTCTGTGTGTTTGTCTATATATGTTGTGTGTCTATGGCATTGAATGTTTGCCATGTATATGTACATTGTAATCCGCCCTGAGTGCCCTGTGGGGTGAGAAGGGCAGAATATCAATACTGTAAATAAATAAATAAATTAAGGACAGTTTCTTGCATTTCGCGCTCCACTTTTTGTATCTTTTTTCAACCTCAGCCCCCTCCCCTTCTTTTTTATTTTTACAGTGTTAATAAAATCCACAGATAATAACACAGCCCAACCCAAAGAGGAGGAGGAGGGGCAATGCATTCGTAGGGTGCATCTAAATTATCAAATTAATACAGTTTGACACCACTTTAACTGCTATGAAATCACAGAAGTTGTAATTTTCAAGATCTTTAGCTTTTTCTGCCAAAGAGTGCTGGTGCCTCACCAAACTGCAGTTCCTATGATTTCATTACATTGAGCCATGGCTGTTAAAGGGGTGCCAAACTTCATTAATTCTATAATGTAGATCAGGCATGAGCAAACTTCGGCCCTCCAGTTGTTTTAGACTCCAACTCCCACAATTCCTAACAGCTGGTAAGCTGGCTGGGATTTCTGGGAGTTGAAATCCCAAACACCCAGAGAGACAAAGTTTGCCCATGCCTGATGTAGATACACCCTGAGTCAGCCCTTGCAAAGACCAACAGGGAACTTGACTAGCTTCTCATGCAGCTCTCCCTCCTGATTCAAAGGAAGTGCTGTGTGTGTGTCTTCAAGATGCCTGTTGACTTATGGCAACCTTATGAATTTCATAGGGTTTTCTTAGGCAAGCAATACTCAGAAGTGGTTTTGCCTGTTCTTTCCTCTGAAATAAAGCTTACAGCACCTGGTATTTGTTGGCAGTTTCCCATTCAAGTAGCAATCAGTGTTGACCCTTCTTGGCTTCCAAGATCAAACAGGTTTTGGTGCCTTTAGCATATTTAGGTCAATATGTGTGTACCAGAGATCTACTATTATCTCCAGTGATTGGTAACAACTGGGATTCCTTGCTTCCTCCATCCTAGATGTTTACAAGGAGGTAAGACTTGAGGAAGTGTGTGGTTTAGGTGACAGCTGGACAAGGATGCCTAATGAAGCACAGTAATCTGGTTAGGACATTATAACATGATGTGCCACTAGTGATTTTATTTTTAAAAAAACAAGGAAAAACCTAGATTTCACGTAGAGATTAGATTTTGGAAAAAAAACTACTTTTCTGGAGTTCTTGGATGTGAAAAATGACTTTTTGGACTGTATATTTCAGATTGTGGAAGATGTTGTCCAAATAAAGAAACTGGTGGAGGCTGTTCCAGTTACTGATGTGTATTTGGACACTGTTGTATTTCAGTGGTTAGATGCAGTTTGCTACTGACAGTTTAGAATTGAAATTTTAAATAAACATGAATTGATAGCATAGGCTTGTGGAAGTCAAATTTCATATTATCTAACCATAGGAATTAATCGTGCAAAATTAATAATGCATGAGAATGAATGGACTAGAGTTGCAAAGCTATGACCTGGCACATTTAGTCCTGCCGTACAAAACTGAATTTGCAGAGAACTCTGCTAGCCTTGGGCTATTAAGTAATATTTGTATTGGGAGAGTCACTTGGGGAGGTACACAGCAGGCCTTTTCTTCTTAAACACTATGTTTCTACAGATGGCTGATGGTTATTGATTTTTCCCCTCCAGCTGACCTCCTGAATGTAATAGAGCGATCCTGAAATCATCTTGCTAAAATGGGCAATGAAAACAGCAGCCCAGAAAATCAGGTAAGTCTGATGGTTCATTCAAGATAAGTTTTCACAGCTTTTTGGAAAGTTAATGTATTTTCAGAAGTTTAAGATTGGGATTTGAAGGACTCAGAGCAAGTACTTGGTTGATGTTGGTCATATGTGAGCATCAGAGTTCAGAAGGGATTGGTCTTCCCAGGAGAAGGTGCTTGGAAGAATAATCTGAAGACCTAATCCAGGGTAACCATGTTTTGCCATGGCAAGTAATTAGATTAGATGATACCCCTGAGTCCCTGCAGGGAGATAGGGCAGAAGACAAATAAAGTTATCATCATCATCATCATCACCATCATCACCATCATCATCATCATCATCATCATGTATTTATTTCAACTGGCTAGTTCAAATAGGACATGAACATAAATGGTGAGGAAGAGAAGATCGGCCAGGACCGATACAGAAGACTAGACCAAAATCAAGCAAGGTCTGAGGACAGTAAAATTATGATTAACTAGTTGGCTTTGTTTTCAATTGAGTGAGAAATTTGCTCTGGGTTTTAGCCTAAGGCAGTGGTTTTCAACCTTCCTAATGCCACGGCCCCTAAATATTTCCTCATGTTGTGGGGACCCCCAACCGTAAAATTATTTTCGTTGCTACTTCATAATAGCAATTTTGTTACTGTTATGAATCTTAATGTAAATATCTGATATCCAAGATATATTTTCACTCACTGGACCAAATCTGGCAAAAATGGGGTTGGGGAGGTTAAAACTGCCCCTTCCCTGATATCTTTCAAGAATCAGTTGAAGACCTCCCTGTTCAAGCAAACTTTTGACTAATGAATTCAATTGCTAACAACAGCACGGTCGATTTGCACTGAGCAGTACTATCCATAATAGTTGTATTTGCAATTACAACTATTGTGGAAACTTAATTATTGATGAGTCTCCACAATAGTTGTAATTGGTTTAAAATGTTTTAAATGCTTAATATTTATTTATAACTTCTTTCTGGACGTTATTATGCTTTGTGTGATTTTTGTCTTCTGTTTTTGTTAAATGTGCTTTGATTTGTATTGTATTATGCTGTGAGCTGCTTTGGGTCCTGTTAGGGAGAAAAGCAGGATATAAAGTTTGTTTTTTTCATGTCAGGAGTGACTTGAGACACTGCAAGTCACTTCTAGTATGAGAGAATTGACCATCTGCAAGGACATTGCCTAGGGAATGCTTGGATGTTTTGATGTTTTAACATCCTTGTGGGAGGCTTCTCTCATGTCCCCGCATGGAGAGCTGGAACTGACAGAGGGAGCTCATCCACGCTCTCCCCAGATTTGAACCTCTGATCAGTTGGTCTTTGGTCCTGCCGGCACAAGGGTTTAACCCAAACTAAGGCCCGGGGGCCGAATACTTCCCTCTAAGGTCATTTACCCGGCTCTTACTCAGGGTCAACCTAAGTCTGAAACAACTTGAAAGCACAAAACAACAACAACAACAATAATCCTATCTCATCAGCCAAAAGCAGGCCCACAATTCCCACTGAAATACTAATAAGTTTATACAGTATTTGTTAAAATTGTTCTTCATTTTAATTATTGGATTGTTTTAAAGTGTTTTTTTGCACTACAAATAAGATATGTGCAGTGTGCATAGGAATTCATTCATGTTTTTTTTTTCCAAATTATAATCCGGCCCTCCAACAGCTTGAAGGACTGTGACCTGGCCCTCTGTTTAAAAAGTTTGAGGACTCCTGGTTTAACCCATTGTGCCACTGGGAGCTCCATAAATAAAGATTTATTATTATTATTATCACTATTATTATTGTTTATATGATAATTTATATACTCATTTTTCTCATTTATATGCTCATTTATGGAGGCCCTGTTGGCACGATGGGTTAAAGTGCTGAGCTGATGAGCTTGTTGACTGAAAGGTTGCAGGTTTGAATCAGGGGAGCGGCATGAGCTTCTGCTGTCAGCCCCAGCTTCTGCCAACCTAGCAGTTCGACAACATGCAAATGTGAGTAGATCAATAGGTACTGCTCCGGTGGGAAGGTAATGGTGCTCCATATAGTCATGTTGGCCACATGACCTTAGAGGTATCTACGGACTCTTTCGCTTAGAAATGGAGATGAGCACCAAGCCTCAGAGTCGGACACGACTGGACTTAATGTCAAGGGAAACCTTTACCTAGGTTCATTTATATGCTTTGATTATCTGCTTTGATAATCTGGATTATATGGCAGTGTAGAAGGGGCCCAAGTTTGCTGTGGCAGTTTAAAGTTGTGCCCCGTGCAAACTGGTGAACAGTTATAATCCACCTCACTGTGGATGTGGAATGAATGCAGTTGGGCATCACTTTGACTGGCATGTGCTCAAAGTTATGGAATGCATGCACCAAAAGACATCCCAAAGCCCTGTTCATTTTTCTAGTTCAATGACATCTAACAACCCTATGTGCCCAAACACTAGCAAACATCTGGGGGGTGTGCACATGGGTGTGCGTTCAATATATGTTGTTGCCTCCGTGGATTTCACAGGGTGCATCAACATTGCCAAATCCATGCACTTCAACACTACCTGCTGTGAGTCCACTCCTCACTGCTATGGGACCCTGGCTTCTGCAGCCTGTGCAATTGGAGGCAGCTTGTTCTGGGGCAGCTTCTGGCCTTCCTTTCTGTGCCCGGCGTCCGGTTCCCTTGGCAGGCGCTCCTGAAACCCGATCCCTGCCGCCATGGGGATGACCTTTGCTCGGCTTCCCGGCGTTCACCTGCAGCCCTCCTTTTAAGCTTCTTAGGGAGGAAGCGGCTGCCTTGGCTCCGAAGGCGCTCCTTGGCGCATCCCCTGCGCCTTGGCCCCCTCCTCCTCCTCCTCCTCCTCCTCCTCCTCCTGTGCGCCTCTAGGGAAAGAAAGGGCGAGGAGGTGACCCTGGAAGGTAAGGAGGTCCCAGTCACTGCCCTCCCAGCACTCTCCATTTCCGTGTAAACACCGCAGGGAAGCTTTCCGTTCCAAGCTGACTTGGAGCCAGAACTCTGACCCATGGCAAGCACTGCCTTAAAAGGCTAGAAGGCTGAAACTCACATTGGAAAAAGGATGGGAGAGGACAGGGCTGGGATTCACCAAGTTTTGGGTGCATCTACACCAGGTATGGGCAAACCCAGGCCCAGGGGCTGGATGTGGCTCCTGGGACTCTTTTCTCAGGCACTCATCTCTCTCACCATCCATCCTTCTCTCATTCCTTCCTCCTTTCCTCCCTCTTTTTCCTTTCCTTCCACCTTTTCGTCCTTCCCCTCTTTCCTTCCTTCCTTCCCTCTTTCTCCCTCCCTCCATTCCCTCCTTCCCTTTTGTCTTTCCTTCTCTCTTTCCTTCTTTCTTTCTTTCCTTCCTTTTCTTTCCTCCCTCCTTCCCTCTCTCCCTTTTTCCCTTTCCATCGTCCCCTTTCTCCCTTTCGTCCTTCTCTCTTTCCTTCCTTCTTCCCTTCCTTCCTCCTTCCCTCCCTCTTTCTCCTTCCCTTCCACCCTTTCATCCTTCCTCTCTTTCCTTCCTCCTTCCTTCCTTCCCTTCCTTCCTTCCCTCCCTTTTTCTCTCTCCTTCCATTTCCTCCTTCCCTTTTGTYCTTCCTTCACTCTTTCCTTCCTTCCTTCCTTCCTTCCTTCTTCCCTTCCCTTCCACGCTTTCATCCTTCCTTCCTTCCCTTTTGTCTTTCCTTCCTTCTTTCCTTCCTCCTTCCCTCTCTCCCTTTTCCTCCTTCCATCCTTCCCTTTCTCCCTTTTGTCCTTCTCTCTTACCTTCCTTCTTCCCTTCTTTCCTCCTTCTCTCCCTCTTTCTCCTTCTTTTCCACCCTTTCGTCGTTCCTCTCTTTCTTTCCTTCCTCCTTCCTTCATTCCCTTCCTTCCCTCCCTCTTTCTCCCTCCCTCCATTCCTTCCTTCTCTTTTGTCCTTCCTTCTCTCCTTCCTTCCTTCCTTCCTTCCTTCCTTCCTTCCWTCCATCCATCCATCCWTCCAYYCTTCCAYYCTTCCTTCACTTTTGTCTTTCCTTCCTTCTTTCCCCCTATTGACCGGCTCACTTTTGCATATTTTCAGACTGCTAAGTTTTCAGAAGCTGGGGCTAACAGTGGGAGCTCACCTCACTCCCTGGATTCAAACCACCAACCTTTTGGTCAGCAAATTCAGCAGCTTAGTGGTTTAACCCACTGCGCCACTAAGGGCACTAAAAAAGTGCCATACATAAGTTTAAAAACAATTAAATAGTAACAGTGTGGTAAAAACAGGATTAAAATATTATAAATACACTAAAATGGCTTTTGAAACTCATATCCCCCCACCATTGACTTCACCACTCCATTTAATTTAAACGAAGCAGAGCATTAAACAATTATTATTATTATTACCCCCACCTCATCTCCCCTGAAAGGGACTCAAAGCGGCTTAACATAAAAGTATTAGCATAAGTACACTGTTAGACCAAAAAGTTCTTAACTACTCCAAAGACCTTGCAAACGACATCTCCATGATTCTAGAGCATTTAGTCATAGCAGTTAAAGTAGCATCAAACTATGTTAATATTTAGTATAAGTGTGTTCATAATAGTATAGATGTATCCTTTGTCAATTAGGAATGCTTGTGGATATTCCCACCTGCCCGCCTTTTCCTAAAAGGGACCACTTTTGAATCGAAAGCCTCACAGTAAGGCTGACGTGTACTTGATGCTTCACTAAGCACTTGGCTATGAACCAGGAAACTTCAGAGAGCTTGGCATATTTACAAGCCAAGCTTGGTCTTAAGATTGTAGCTTGAGTTTTTCAACTGAAATGATAAATGACCCTCTGTCGGGAGTGCTTTGATGGGGTATTCTTGCATGGCAGGGGGTTGGACTGGATGGCCCTTGTGGTCTCTTCAAACTCTATTATTCTATAATAAACATAACTTTTGGAGGAACTGGATTAAAAAAAATCTTTCTATTGGAGGCCACTATCCCCAAATAGATTTTATTGATGTCTCCCTCACTTTCTTTAAATCTGGGTTTATGTTTATATGACAGATG